GCCCCAGGGCAGCACCCACCTGCCCCCATCCCACTCCCCAGGGCCCCAGTGCGGCGGAGGAGTCCGAGGAGGGTGACATGTACGAGGCGCCCCCCTGTGAGAGCCAGGCCTGGAAGGTGGCTCCAGCCAAGAGGCAGGAGGACACGGACGGCACCTACCTAGGTAACGGGGGGCAGGAGAATGGGAGGCTGGCAATGGGGGAGGGGACTGGGGAGGGGCGGAGTTGGGGGGGTTGGAAGGTTGGGGGCAGTGAGGCCCCCAGGGCCCATCTCACCCTGTCCCTGCCTCCAGATCACGCCACTGCCCGGCGCTGCTCGGAGCCTTTCGCCCTCCTGCCAGCCAAGGTGAGTGAGCCGCCCGCAGCCCACACTGTGCCCCCTGCATCCCCAATCCCCCTCCCCCAACACCGAGCCCCCTGCACCCCAAATCCCGCACCCCCAACACCGAGCCCCCTGCACCCACAATCCCACACCCAGCCCCCTGCACTCCCAATCCTGCACCCCACCCCCAACCCCCTGCACCCCAATACCACACCCCACACCGAGCCCCCTGCACCCCCTCCCTCTCTCCCAACACCGAGCCCCTGCACCCCCAATCCCGCACCCCACACAGAGACCCCTGCACCCCAATCCCCCTCCCCCAGCACCGAGCCCCCTGCCCCCCCAATCCTGCACCCCACACCGAGCCCCCTGCACCCCGAATCCCCCCACCCCACACTGAGCCTCCTGCACCCCCAATCCTCCTCCCCCAACACCGATCCCCCTGCACCCCCAATCCCGCACCCCACACCGTGCCCCCTGCACCCCCAATCCCACACCCAACACCAAGCCCCCTGCACCCCCAATCCCGCCCCCACTCCGTGCCCTGTGCCCCCCGAATCCCTCTCCCCCAGCACCCTCAGTGGACCTGATGACATGGCACCGTGTGGCCAGCTACATTCCAGGAGAGCCCAGAGAGCCCCATATCCCACCATTTCCCCACGCAGCCCGTCTCCGAAGCTGGGGACTCAGGGGTTGGGCCCAGGAGTTACTCAGGGGGGTGGGGTAGGGGGTTGGAGACCATGGGGAGCCTGGCTGGCTGGTAACCAGCCCGTTGTAACCCACAGTTCCTGTCAAAGCTCAGCCTGGTGCCTGGCACAGACGCTGGCAATGGAGAGGAGATGCCCCAGGGCCTGGCCTGCAGGAAAGGTGAGGGGCTGGGGGGGGGCGGGGAGGGGGGGCTGCTTTGTGGAGTGACCCCCTTCCCCACAGACACCGAGTCCCCCCAGCCTGGGAGCCTGGCAGAGCCGCTTGGAGCCTCCTCCTGGCCCATGCAGGCTGGCTTTGGCCACAGGGCTGGGGCGGCCTGGCTCCCTGTCCACTTTTGGGGTCCCCGGTTGCCCCCACCCCGTGGGGGAGGGGATCTCCTTGCCCGGGGCAGTGATCAACGTGGTGACGGGTGGGCTTGCCGATGGTTGCAGTTACCATGGTGACTGGGCAGGCAGAGGTGCTGGGGTAGCCGTGTTGGGCCCATGGGGGATATGGGGGGGCAGCGTCCTGGGGGCTGAGTCTCTGGGGCTGGGCCCTGCTGCGGTCCCTGGGGCCCCTTTGGCTCCCCACATGCCCGGCTTGGCCACACGGCCTCTCGCCCCGGCTGGCCCCTGGCGCCAGGAGCTGAGCCGCCTCCTTCCCTTACAGGTCAGGACAGAACCCAGGCGAAGCTCCCCCCAGCTCCCGGCAGTCGCCGGGTCTCCCTGCCCGTCCCCCTCCCGAGGCC